AGTCCAAGAAGGCTATGCCTCAGCCAGAACACGTCTTCAGATAGCCCTGGATCTCATGGACACTGCTGCCCATTTTACAGCTACTGCAGTTGCGATTATGAGGTCTTCATGGCTACATTCTGCTGGAGTTCCGAGGGAGTTACAGACCAAAGTGGAGGACCTACCCTTTAACAAACAGAAGCTCTTCACCAAGAAGACACGAGGTCCTCCACTACAACAAAGATTCTCGTACCACTTTCCAAACTCTGGGTATGTACACACCTCCATATCACTGGAAACTATGTAATGTACCAGAGGTGCCACAATTACCCATACACTAGGCAACAACAGCATGGCTTTGACCAGTCACGATCAAGGCAGTGACCCCAAAGAAGGCTCAAGCAGACCAAACGCGCCCTATATCAACCAGCAGTAAGCAGCAGATTTGACTCCTCGATTGAGGGCTTCCAACCACATCTCGTTGTCATCCTAGAAAACCATGCCTCATGTCTGTTCCACCACCAGCTGAGGCAGTTTTATTGCCAATGGGCCACCTTCACGTCTGATTGTGGGGTTTTGGAGATCGTATCATCTGGTTTCACCTTCCCATTCCTTTCTCTACCTTCAACTACCCCACTTACCCCATCCCTCTTCAGGGACCCTTCTCACAAGAACTTGTTGAAACAAGAGATCCATTGTCTTCTCTGCATTGGGGCCGTAGAGAAGGTCCCGGATGTGTCTGAGGGAAAATGGTTCTAGTCTAGCTATTTCCTCACATAGAAGAAAACAGGAGTCTGGAGACTCCTACTCGATCTTCGAAAGATCAAGCAACATCTCCAAAAATGTTTCAAAATGGTAACCCTCACATCTTAGGCACAAATTATCACAGCCCTAGGCAATGGGTTTGCAGCCCTCGACCTCCAGGATGCCTACTTCTGTAGCACCATCCATTTGGCATACGAGCGTTTACAGTAGGCGGAGAACACTTCCAGTATCCAGTGCTTCCCTTCGGCCTTTCATCCTCCCCCAGGGTATTCTCAAAAACCCTAGTGGTGGTGGCATCTCATTTGTATCGAAAAGGCATTATAATCTTCCCCTACGTCGATGATTGCCGTATAAAAGGCCACACCGGGGCAGAAACACAGCATATGATAACAATAGCCAGACAGACTTTTGACTCTCTAGGCCTAATCACCAACTAACAGAAGTCCATAATCACCCCTTCTCAGACCCTGGACTTCATAGACTTGACTCCACAGCAGCACGAGCCTACTTAACCATCCAAAGGTTCCAGTCTATCCAGAATCTAATTTCTGTGCTTATCACCAGCCCTACAGTCCCAATACTCACCTGCCTACAATTAATGGGCCATATATCTGCAACAACTTGTGTAGTCCATCACACAAGACTACACTTCCGTTGCCTTCAACCCTGGCTGGTGTCAGTGTATACCCCTACAAAATATCACGACCACAAAGCAGTGTCTCCTCCCTCCAACATTCGCACATCCCTCAAATGGTGGACCGATCCATGCAACCTCTTGGCAGGCATTCTGTTTTACCGTTTTCAGCCTTAGGCACAAATGACCACAGACGCTTCTCTCGTCGGCTGGGGTGCCCATATGAACGGCATGTCCATGCAGGACAGGTGGTCACCAGCAGAGATGGCCCTCCACATAAACCTTGAGCCCAGAGTGGTTCTCAGTGCCCGCAGACACTTGATTCCTGTGAGCTGGAGAAGATTGTGGTCTGAGGCAGAGGAAAGGGATGCCATGGAGAAGAGAGCATGTGGGAACCCTGATATGCCTTCCCCCCCACTTCCTGGAACAGTAGGGGAAAGGATGCCATGGAGTAGAGAGCGTGTGGGAACCCAATATGTCTGCTCCCCCTTCCAGGTACATTAGAGGAAAAGGGTGATATGGAGTAGGGAATGTGTGAACCCTGATATGTCTGCTCCCCCTTAAAGATGTCTGGTATTTTGTTATTGGAATAAGGGAAGAGCCCCCTCCCCCAACAGTTTCCCCCCTTCCATCCTCTCTGGGCATCAAAGATGTGGTTTCATGGGGCCCAGGGGCAGTTTGATCAAAGGAGTGAAAGTGTTCCAAAGTGATTGAGACCCTCATGGGAAGTGGGCCCACTAAGGGCAGCTTAAGCATGTAGGAGGAACCACCCCAGTTCTTTGCTTCACCCTACCACAACCCTTGGCCTTGGAAAGGGTTCAGAAAAGGGCAACTAAAATGATTAGGGGTTTGGAATGGGTCCCATATGAGGAGAGGTTAAAGCGACTGGGACTTTAGAAAAGAGGAGACTGAGGGGGAATATGATAGAGGTTTATAAAATCATGAGTGGTGTGGAGAGGGCAGATAAAGAAAAGTTATTTATTAGTTCCCTAAATAGAAGAACTAGAGGACACCAAATGAAATTAATGGATAGCAGGTTTAAAACTAATAAAAGAAAGTTCTTCTTCACTCAGCGTGTAGTCATCCTGTGGAACTCCTTGCCAGAGGAGGCTGTGAAGGCTAAGACTATAATAGAGTTTAAAGAGAAGCTAGATAATTTCCTGGAGGTGAGGTCCATAAAAGGCTATTAGCCAGGGGATAAAATGGTGTCCTTGGCCTCTGTTTGTCAGAGGCTGGAGAGGGATGGCAGGAGACAAATCGCTTAATCATTATCTTCAGTCCACCCTCTCTGGGGCACCTGGTGCTGGCCGCTGTGGGCAGACAGGATACTGGGCTAGATGGACCTTTGGTCTGACCCAGTACGGCTGTTCTTATATTCTTAACCCAGTGCTTATGTTTTTTCCCCTCCTCTTTTGCAGTGCGCATGATGCCTAAGTTCTTACATGTTTAAGAGTTGCAGTTTTTAAAACGCTTAAGGTTTTTGCAGGTTCTTATATCTCACAGAACATCAGGAGAGCTAGTACTAGCTGAAGAGCAACAGAAGCATCATGGTTCTAGTGTCATGACCCAGTGTATGTTCAGTGTTCTGTGTTGCATGTTGTGTGTTTGTCTTGTGGGTGTTGTGTGCTAGCACTGTTGCATTTGGGGGAAAAGGGGATACTACACTAGGGTAGACTGCTTTTCCTCTATGTCAACCACCTCCAACCATTATCAGTCACAGGTCCATTTCTGTTTATACAAAAAAAAAAAAAAAAAAAGCAGCAGCAAGCCTTTGGTCAGGTTTTTCTCTGATTATCATTTTGTTGTTGATATACATTTACATTTCGATTATCATTTTGTTTTTGTTGATATACTGGTACATTATATATTTGTTAATCCCTCTCACTGTCCTCTGATTACTATGTTGGGATGGGCGGAGGCACCTTTGTGTGGTCACCATAATTTGGAGTTCCAAGGGGCAGATAATGTTGCATAAAAAGCCTCCTCCTGAGCTTACATGATTGTACACATACATTTTCTGAAAATACACTAAACTGTAAGGTCTAAGGTTTTAAACTGCAACTCATTGTAACCTTTGTCAAACCTTGAAACTTGCTGTAATCTTTGTAAAACTTTGTAACTCTCAGCCACCTTGCTTGTAACTTGCTCTAAACTGAATTCTCCCCTGAGTGAATAAGTGTGTGTGTGTGTGTGTGTGTGTGTGTGTGTGTTTTGTTGAAGTTGCAATGCTGAGGCTGGAGCACATGGTGATGAGTCATCAAACTGGTGCTTTGCTGGATAAAGGGAAGTCTGGGCATGCTCCCTGGTGACGAGGTAGATGAGTCACAGGGGCCATACAGACACAATATAAAGGAGAGGGAGCACATGTGAGACTCTTTTTGTTTGATTGTTTTCCTTCCCCTGCTCTTGAGAAACTCCTCTCTACAGCCAGTGTCTCTCCTGACCAGCTTCCCAGTCATGATCAGCAGACAGACTCTCCAGAATCGACATGCCTTGGAGTCTTCTGCAATCGCTCTAGGGGAGGTCCTGGTGAGCTTGGCATGTCTTGGTAAGGGAATCAAAGTGTGTGTGTGTGTGTGTGTGTGTGTGAGAGTGAGAGTGAGAGAGAGAGAGAGAGAGAGCTGGTTCCCTCTTTAGTTTAAACCTTTAAACTAAAGCTCTATTTTTGTAGTGCATACAGTGCAGTGCTAATACCTCATACAGTAAACCCATGGTAGTGTAACCCTAGGTGGTCTCCAGTGGGAATTTTTGGGGATAACAGTATCTTTCCACTATTCTGGTTCAACTTTAGTATTTACTAATGTTTTCCTTCGTATTGGTCATAATTAAGACAAATTCATAGTACTTTATACTATAGCATATTTTAGGTAGGGTAGTAGATTTCCCATGTCTGGAGTCCTGTGCAACTAGGAATGTCTGCCTGTGAATATCCAGGACCTGCGGATATCCATTGATAGACATTGAGATGCACAGATCTACAGGGTTCTATTGTGTGTGGTTGTATCATGCCTGGGAGATTGCACCCTGCACCAGCGACTCCTCCCAGGAACATGGCTATTCTGCCCCTTGCCGGGCTTTATGACCACAGAATGGAGATGCCATATCGGGGGCCATGCAGCTGCACTTCCGGCATGGGGAGCTGGCTCCCAAGTGAGATGGGATTCTACTCAACTCCTTTGGCTGCAGTGACTCTTGGGAGTAGAGCCCTAGGGATCCTGATGTCTACCTGCAGATATCTGTGGATAGACATTTCTATTTGCGCAGGGCTCTAAACGTATCCTATTTTAGGGGAACCATGCTTATATTCTTTTGATGTAGGAAGAGAAAAGGTCAATCTTTGGAGTCTGAAAGATTATAGATTAGAAAGATGCCAATGTTAATCTTGTCTCTGCATTCATAAGTATTTGGCACAGCTGTTTGGGGTTATGTGTGTGAAAGAGAAAATAAATATAATTTCTTCCAACAATGTGTATATTTTTGTTAAGAAATTTTAAGCACAGACAAAAACACTTAATGTTTTTTTCTTAATAAATGTATCGTGTAATTTTTCATATTTTTACAAATTTTATAAATGAGGATTCAGTAACTCTGCTATAACAATTAACTATTTTCCCCCTTTAAGGCTCTAAGGAAACGAGAAGCCAAAGCTGATGAAATGGAAGAACTGATGAAAAATAAACTTTTGAAATCTGAAAATGAAAAGAATAAAGTAAGATTTTATTTTATTACTTTTTAAAATAATTTTGAGTGTAATCTTTTTCTGTTGTGACAGTTTCCAACTTCTTGTAATCTAGAACATGTTTCTCAACTTTTTTGATACCAAGGATCTTTTTGCTGCATTCTTAAATTGTCAGGCAGGTCTCTGGGGCTGGTGCCAGTCCACAGAGGGTCATTGAGAAACTCTTGTCTAGAATGTCCAGCCTCCTTTATGTTTTGTTTAAAGCCATGTCTTGCTTCCTTTAGAAGGGGCATCTGAAGTGTGAAACCTTGTGGTTTTAGTTTGCAAAATGGCAAGGTACTTTTTAGCACTGTACACAGCAAACACAGCCAAAAATGGACTCATCTTCAAGCAAAGCCCTCACTTTTTTTGTCATTGTTGACAACACAAGCAACTTCCCAGTTAAATCAAGCTTAAGTCAAGGGATTAGTTTGACACCTCTCTTCACCTTGTTTCACACAAATAAATCTTGTGCAAAGTTATTGGATTCTTATTCCAGAGCATATCTAAGATCTAACACATTCTTTACATCCTTGCAGTTCACTCTGATTATTTCCCATTTTGATTGTTATAAACTCCTCTTCCTTGCCTCTCAGACGCTCATACAACTCTCCCACAATTCAGAGAAACATTGCCAAAATTAGCTGCCTTGCCACTTGCCATGCCTTTTTTGCTTCTCTCCACTATCTGCTCTTTCTCCAGTGCATAAAGTCAGATTTGTTGTCAATACTTTCAAACCTTTGCTCTTCCCTGCTTTATCCACCCATGCATTGTTTCACATTTTTTTACATACATTGATACAAACCTCGTCTATTTTGTAGCTTCTCTGATAAACCTTTCTGTGTACCCTCCATGCTGCTATGTATGCATATATAATTTTCTCTATTAAAAAATAACTGTTTACAGAGAGGGACTCAGTAGAGCAGGGGTTCTCAGAGTTCATTGCACCGCAACCCCCTCTGAAAAGAAAAATTACTACCTGACCCCCAGATGAGGGATGAAAGCTTGAGCCCACTGGAGTCATGCTTCCCTGGGTAGGGAGTCAAGTCCAAATTCTGAGCCCAACCACTTCTCATGTGGGGACTAAAGCTCAAGCAATTCAGTTCCAGGAAGGTGGCCTGTAATTTGAGCCCTTTCACCCTGGTTATTGGGACTTAGGCTTTGGTTTTGGCCCTTGGCCCCAGCAAGTCTAAACCATCATTGGCAACCCCCATTAAAACAGGGTCACAACCCACTTCAGGGACCTAGAACTGGAGAACCCCTGCAGTAGTTAGAGGTGAATTAACTGCACCATATATAGAAGATTAAATACATTAGTATTGTTGGAAATCAGGGTGGCTAAAAATGATTTTTTTAAATAAAGTCTGTTTTTTTTATAAAATGCTTTTTGAGGGAAAAATATTTCAAGATCATTTTAATTAAGATACATTATAGCTCAAAGACATATTGTGGAATAGGTATTACAAATCTTAATCCTATAGTATAGACAATATATTCATGTAATGGTTAAGAAACATTTTGTAAATGAGTTCCAATAGTTCATAGATTAGGGACCCAATTTTATGGGTTCCAGAGGCTTCCATATAGATTTAGATTAATCTTTCTATCTAGCCAATCGGGTTCAGTTATCATTCTAGACGATATCACCAGAGATGCTTAGTTTTGCAGTTCTCAAACTGTGGATTTGTGTCTCCAGAGATTACATGCTTGTTAAAAGCAAAAATGTTTTTAAATAAACAATATATCGAGGCGAGTAATAACATCTCAACTTTATTGTTCCTCTGCAAATTTGTGTACACAGAGTTAATCCTTTACGTCTTTCTAAAAATGCAAAGTTTCAAAAAGTTCAATGAATAGAAGATTGTTGGGAGCAGAATGGATCTGGACAAGGAGAAGAAGTGTGGAGATAAATATGAGGCAGGACAAGCAGCTAAAACAAAAGTGGAACTATTTAAGCAGCATATTCCAGAAATTCTGAGGTCTTTTTGAGTGTAGCCTTTTTTGTTTTGAGATCTACCATCTAGTTCTCACTAGAAAGGAAAACCTATAATGGCAGCAGGCCATAAAAGAGACCCAGTTTGGAACTATTTTAACTAAGTTCTACTACCTGTGGGCAGGCCCTCTGAGTGACAGACATGGGCTACTTTGAGTTTAGAAGCCTCAACCCAGCCCCAGGCTCCCAACGTATCTAACTTCTCATCCATAGAATCATACTAAAACGAAAAGAATATATGGAAATGAACACTTGAGACCTTTATTAACAATTAAGTCATTATACCAATAGCATATATTACACTGCTCCACAGCCAAAATGCTTTTGAAATAAATGTAGTCAAACTTTACTAATTCTGGTGCACTGAGAATGAAAATGATGCTTAGAATTGTTGATTGGCTCTAGTTTTCAAGATATGCTATTAGGTCAGAATATACGACCCTTGACTTGTGAATGGCAGAGGATAAGTGAGTTACAAAGGGAAGGGATCTCAATTTAAACCAGAAATGACTAAAGTACATCTTTGACCGGATCTATGAATATATCTATGACTGGGTTTGGACAGTACTTGCTTTTTAGGCAAAACAATGAATGATGCAATCTGAAGCTGGTATTGCGTCATACATTATATGAATTGCGTCATGTTGTTCCTAGAAGTCATGGATGATGCAATCATGATGAAGCTTACATCACTCTGCTGAACAAATTGCCCTATATCAGCTCTAGAAATCATACAGTGTCGTGCTCTCTTATTTGTCAGTGTTTGCAAAGGGACACATTTCTGTTTAGCCAAAGTGAGCAGAGATGCCTCGTACTTGTGTGAACAGTGCAGATAACTTCTATGTTTGTGGTGAAATGACTTTTGCATCACAAAAGCGCAGTATAACCACTATAGTTAAGAAAGCCTATCACCTTTATTTTGGCTGCAAAATTGGAGATCAGGACAAGAGGTGGGCCCCACACATATGCTGCAACACTTGTGCAACAAATCTTCGCCAGTGGTTGAACAGGAAAAGGAAATCTATGCCTTTTGCAGTGCCAATGATTTGGAGAGAGCCAACAGATCATACCAGCAATTGTTACTTCTGCATGGTGCCTCCAGTTGGGAAAGATGTGTCAAAGAAGAAAAAGTGGACTGTGCATTATCCAAACATTCCATCAGCTATACACCCAGTACCCCACGGAGAAGGACTTCCGGTTCCTGATGCACCAGAATCATTCTCACTTGAGTCAGATGAGGAAGAGGAAGAGGATGAAACTTCTGGTCCTGAACCATCAATGTCACAGGACTCACATTTTTTCCCATCCTCCTCCTCTGAACCACACCTCATAACACAAGGTAAACTGAATGACCTTGTCAGGGATTTGGATCTATCCAAGAGTAAGGCAGAGCTGTTGGGCACTGATGCAGGGAGACTGACAAAAATACGTAATGCAATTGTGATATTAGGAAATCAAATATTTTTGAAGCAATTCTTTTGGCTTGCAGTACAATTTAAAGTTGGTAGAATGTATACGTTTCAGGAGAACAGTCTTGTCACAGAGATCTTTTGAAATGTCGTCATTGTACCTTTGTAATAACAAAAAATAACATTGACTTGATAGTGCCGTTCTGCATCAGATTGAGATGTTAGGCTGTGATTTGAGGAAAACTCAGATGACTGCCACTGATTTGGATTCAGAAAGGACTGCATTCCATTGATCATGAATCTTTTGAATATATTTAAGTCATCATTCAGTGTTATCCCTCTCAACATCTAATGTAGTATTGTGTGCTTCAATTACAAGATTAGTTTCATGGATAATTTTTAGCAGCTTCATCCACATGGATGACATTAAAATGCATTCAGATTTGGATATTTACTTCTGAATTGACGTAAGCTCAGTGTGAGCCTGTGGTGTGAGAGTAAGAGATTCAAGCTCATGTAAAGCCTCCCACAGCGTCCAAATGCTGTGCAACTGGTTTAATGCCATCAGTTCATGCTGACCATCTCATTGTTGACATGCCATGAAGAAAAGCAGGCAGATGCTGCGTCAGAATTTCCTATTTTCAAGGACTGCTACTGAAGGGGTTGTATAATTTGCTGGTTTGTTCCAACTTATGTGAATGCTTCCTAGCATGATTCCGCACAATCAGTGCCGACAAGATTTAGCGTGTGGTTGCCTCATCTGGAGAAAATCCAGTTTTGGATTTTGTTCAAGGAGGACTGCGTGTACTCCGTTGTACTTCCTAGCCATATTGGATCCATTGTCATAGGCTTGGCAAATGCAGACTTGAAAATTTAATTTGAAGCCTTCCAGAACTTCTAATACAAAAGTGGTGATTTATTTTCCATTTTTTTGTGAAATTATCGAACAAAATAAATCGTTCTTCAGTTGAAACCTTTGAACTTCCTGCAATTTTAACATACCAAACAACCAAGGTTGTCTGTTCTTTGAGACCAGTATAGAGTTGCATCATTAATAATTGAAAAGTACTTTACATGTTGTATCTCTTCAAGAACTGTTGTTTGCACAAATGTCCTACATAGCTCAATAAACTAGTTTTGTATTCTGGTAGACAGATAATGGACTTGCATGAATTTTCTGCTCTCTTCTGATTCATGAACATGTTTAACATGGTCCGATAAGTGAGTCATACTTGCTAAGAAGTATGTACCTAGAAAGTTTCCATTTATATGGTCACCAATATGCTGACTGGAACCAAACAAAGCCAATCCCATTTCAGAAAGGAAAAAAAATGATATTCCATATGTGCTCAAGGAGTTTTTTCCCCCACTTATCAGTTTCTGTGTTTATTTCACTCAGGAGTAAGTTTTCAATTGAACTGTCAGCTAGTGCTGCTCCACTAGCTGAGTTCCATGCAATGTAGTTATCTTTATGTGATACTGAAGTTTCATGTGCAGGTATTTGGTCTTTCAACTTCTGCCAACCTCTGCTGATGCTTCATTTTTAATAAGGGGTGGTTTTAAAACACAGAAGCACATAATACATTAAT